GAAAGATAAAAATGAACACAATATGTAAACAGTAGGTACAAAGTCAGTTAATTAATACATTGGACTAATTCACCAATAAACACAACCACGGAAAACGATTCAATGCTAGGGAAAACGTCTACAAAATAATAATATAGTTAATTAATTAATATTCATTGACTTATATTTCAGTACTTACCTAAAGCTTTACTTCTACAGGATTCATACACAACCATTCCATGCACACATTTCGCGCCGCCGCAATCTCTAAACACGTTGCAGTTATTGGAGTTAGCATTCAACAAAGCAGTTAAGCCTTCCATTACTAATGACCCTAGTTCCTCTTCCTCATCATCTAAGTTAGGGTCCCTGATTAGGGAATCATGGCGAGTCGACTGTCTTTTCTTTCGCTCGGGAGCCACTGGGGACCCATTAGGTTCCACTGGAGGTGACTCCAATTCCCTCTTCGTTTTCTCCTCATCAAGAATCTGTTTGTCTTTCAAGTATACAGCATACCGAGACAGACAAGTCACAAACACTTCTAGCATACCCACTTCCCGGTAAACGTCTTTGAAAATTGCGTTGTGTCTGTAAATTGGATTATAATTAGTATTCTATATTTATTTACCTATTACTTGGAATTACACACAAGGAAAACGTTGAAACTTACTTTAAAATGTTCAGAAGTGTCTTCATACATAATATGCTACACGTCCTTGATCTATTAGCTTTTAGTAGCAAAGACAGAGATATCAACTCTTTGCAGGGCACAAAATTTAATTGAAACACTATAAACTCTAGCAATTCGAAGAATTTCTCTTGAATTTCCGAATTCTTTGTGTATATCCTTTCTGAGAATTGACTTAGTGTGTTTTGATTTTCAAGTATGAAATAATTCGCGTTGTCCGCGTGATATACGCTTGATATTGCGTCTAATATCGTGCAGCATAACGCTGGAGAGTTAGACTTCATAAATACTGACTGTAACACCTGTAATGTAATCAACAAAACACATGATGACCATGATGCATATTTAAAAAGTTATTTCAAATTAATCATGAGAGTTATAAAAATATATGTATAAAAATGATACTGACTTGAAAGGCTTGAACATTCCTCACAGCCTGTCCCGGAGTGGATGGCTGTGGTAACACGAAGCCCTGGAGTTGGAATAGTTCTGTATTGGCGCGCGTTGGCCGCAGCTCCGAGAAACCACAAGCACAGAGCGACGATATCATTAACACTAGGTTCCGTAGAGCTGCCCTCGCCTCTGTACCACTCACTCTCTCTTCTTCCAACCTATTTGTATAAACCCAAAGTTTTGTTACACAAATGTCTACAAAAACTGTTAATATCACAACAATCTGCGATTTAAAATCCAAAGGTGCAACACGTTAACATGTAAAGTCTAAAACATACAATCAATTAAATAAAACAATAAGCTACGGTGAACAGTGCTTACCCTGATGTCAAATAATCGGGTACACCTTGTCTCTCATGTCTGTGATAAACAAAACAAATCATAGGTAAAAAAATAAAAAAAAACTAAATTATAAAATAAGTGCAGTCACATGCTATAACAACCTACAATATCTAGATTACAAACATGCTCATGCTTTATAGAACAACGAATAAACAATTCACCAAAAACTTACTTTAGAAGGAATTCAGATAGAAATAAGTAGCCTTGGCAAGAACGGAAATCATCCAGTAATAATTGACTAACTTCACTTGAATCCTTTAGAAAACAGAATACAGCTACAAACATTTCAACTACCTGCAAAAGAAATCAATATTTTAGATTTCCCAGATTAACACTGTGAAACATGTTAAGCAACTTTGTTCCTTAAAGACAGATTACCTCTAAAGGTGTTAATTCTGGTATCCTTTGCATATTTTCAATGCAAAGTGCAACGCAACCCTTATCTGGAATAAAACAGTAATTGATTAGAAATTATTATCTAAATGACCTATTTTCTGAATACTAGCTTATATTCACGCAGATAAAAGTAGTAATGCTATGAACTAGGGATTATCATAATAGTTCAATTTATAAGGTTGCACTCCATAATTTAACATAGTATAGTATACTATTATATCAACTTACTGTGTATGTACTGAACAACAGATTGTGTTAATCCATGTCTAGATAAAGTCATTAGCACTTCTGCGGCCGACTTCCTCCACATAATGTTGTGAGGTGCACACCATGATGTTATGGCGGAAAATAATAGACTGAGATCATCTTTTCTTGCTAATTCTTCACATGGAAATGGGTGACTGCATAGCCTTACAAGTACCTAAGAACATTGATATTTATTTATTAATTGATAATTTAAACATAGTTGTAACATGCATTAAATTAATTTGTAGAGTTATACTTGAAGACATAGAAAAAGATATTAATTCAGCATACTTTTTAGTTATCAACAGTTTGATTGTTATGAAAATAATTAATTAATTTCAACTACATAAAGTTTCGTAATCGTAAGACTTGTGTCTCTTTTGTCTGGGCACTAGTAACTGGGGTTTTAATGCAGGAAAATAATCAATTGTAAAAATATGAATAAGTAGCAGTCAATCATTGTAAATAGTTCAGCTGTTTATTACTGTCTAATGAGTCGTAAACATTACTCAACCGGCCAGTGGCATTGACCCACATGGAATAATGTTATCTTTTGTTATCATATTTGCACTCCAGATTACCTAGGTATTAAAGTGTCCAACATTATACACTAGCGTTAGCAACACTATTCCTGTTCAAAATTATATGAACCATTTTTCAGTATTCCAGGCGTGATATGTTATCATATATGACCAACAGATATTTCCGCATAAATGTTTGCATGGATTAGTCACTACAGTACATGTTTATCTAGCTGTTATATTGTATATCAAACATGCCTGTATTCATACACTACTTGCTTTAAAAAAATTGAGTCCGATATGGATTATTTGCTTTACTGATATCTTTGTAACATTGGCACCTGCTACCAATAAATATTATTTATTTACCTTAGCAATTATTGAAAACAAGTGATAATCTCAGACAAATAAGATCAAAAACTTCCTTCTATACTTGTTTTAGTAATAAATTTACATATTTGTATGGATTTTCCTACTACCAGTATTCTACAAAGCATCTTGTTTACCTGTACAAATATCTTCTGTAACAATATTCGTCTTTCCCTAGGAGTGAAGTCACTGTTACCATCCTGAACATCGGCTTCAGACTCAGGTATTTCAGGCAGATCAAAGAACAAGTATAAACATTTCACTAATGTTGAAGGTATTGATGCAGTGGTCATGACCTAGAAATAAATAAAGTTAAAACAAACTATTCAAACTATGATCACACTATTTTGAATAGAGCCTTGAACTGACAGAAACTGTTGTTGCACAAAAAACAATGCATCAGTTCCAGTTTGTGTATAAAATTGTAGTGTTTGTTTTTAAAAACAATTTATATTTGTGTAATTACTTCATTATGACCTCATTACATTTGATCAGAGAATGTAGTGCTAAAAATACCTGTATCAGTGACTGATCACCAGCTGCTAGAAGATTTAGTGTTGATAGTAACATCCAGCCATTGCTAGATTCCTCAGAATTTTCTATTTCTAAGAATTTAGCAATAGCACAACTAGCAGCCTCTGTACTTTGGTTACTGGCTCTCTTCCTGATCTCTGACACCATTAGCTTTGAAACTTGCTGGCAGAATGATAAAATATCCCAGAACTTTTCATTCATCTCACTTGATGGACTAGTGCCAAATACCTATTTGAAACAAACAAATCTTATTGGTAAAGAAAAAAGAAGGTAGGTACCTAGTCAATTGGTTTGCACTGTTTGATATACTATTGTTTGATAATAATAGCACTTTAAAAATATGTTTATATTTTCACTTGACTGTAATAGGTAGATAGATAAGATTCTGTACTCATTCAACTTTGTCAGGTCCTTATAAACTAAGATTCCTATTAGATAGTTGTTGACAGTTCACATTGAATTGCTTAAAGCATGTTTATTATTATATAGTACCTAAAGATGATGTGCATTATAATAATATGAGATGACATATGTTTAGAACTCTACTAGTGAATTCCTAAATTTATTCCAATAAAGAATTGCTGTTTTTGTAAACCATACGTTAATATTTTTATTGATATTCAGTATTTATAAAGGAATGAAAAATTATATTTAGTATTTACCTTACAAAAGAGAGGTAGCATATTGTATAGTTTATCATCTTTCTCGGCATCTGTAAGGGGTTGCGGTGGATGTGTGTACTCCGCAAAGAGTTTTTTAAGGTGCATGAGACCAAGTTGGACGTGAGATGACGAGCTCGAGGCTTCGGTAGTCTCAGGAGACGCCGAAGAAGTCGCCCCACGCAATTTGCGCATTAGATTCATTTTTAGAAACTTAATCGATACTTTCACACTTTTAAGCACATCTTAATTTTTTTTTATTCATGTAGAAATAAACATTTTAATTAAATAATAATAAACATTGATTTTCATTTATATTTTACACAGCGGTATCACCATTTTGCACTGTTATTGGACAAATGTAACGTAAATTAAATACATGACTTATAAAGGGCAAACTAAAAATATTATGTAAATGACGATATTTTCTTAGTTTTTCTTTTGTAAATTGATTGATTATTTTCTGATACTTTCGTACGCCCACACTGCAAAGTGCTTGCCATAGATTATCAAGATATTTATTAATATCAATCACTTTTCACGAAATGACAAATGAAATGCTCGTTGGTTTTACCGATTGACAGAACGATTTTCGGGTCGAATTCTTAAATTAATCCAACCTTATTAAGCTGGCAAAAATAGGTTATTATTTTATTGCTAAATTTTATGAAGAAGTTCTTTAATGTTGTAAAACGTTTATTTTTTTTAAAGAATTATGTAGTAATATCGTTCGTAAGGAATATCGAGAATAACGACGTGAACTGACATTAGATGATATGTCAAAGTCAAATTTGTCAGTGTCATTTTGTTATTGACAATTTGTCATTCGTTTTGTGTTGCAGTTCGTTCGTGCTACGAAAATAGCATTTCCGTTTTATAAACGTAAATTCTTCGCACGCCGTCTTAATATCAAGATTCACCTTTCTTGAATTAAAATGCCGGAAAGTCAGAATCTTGTGCAGTGTTATAACCGTGGTTGCGGTCAACTCTTCGACCCCAACCAAAACGACAAAGGTTTATAAGCGAATTTTCTAGACTTTTCCGTAGCCAGGTTCTTATAAGAGAGTCATCCTGCGATTAATTACTATTTATTTTCGTCATAGAATCTTTAAAACAGTTAATGATTGCAGTTGAAAACAATATATTTTATATAAAGTTTACTTTGATTTTCAATATGCCATGGTTTTACAGGAATACAAAATACTTAGTACAAATTGCATGTGTATTTTTCAGATGAATGCCGTCATCATCCGGGTAGTCCAGTGTTTCATGATGCATATAAGGGTTGGTCATGTTGTAACAAGAAGAGTGTAGATTTTACAGAATTTCTAAATATTAAAGGATGTACAGTGTCGAAGCATTCTAATGTGGTTAGTACCTCTAAATGTTTATATATAATTATAATAATGTTAATTATGTTAATTATGAATTGATTTTCTATGTGTTTGCATTATATTGCTTATGCATCAATCCAATCCAACCAATCAAGGATAACCTTGATCCTACATTTACAATGTTTATATAATAATATAATTATATTAATGTTAATTATGAATTGATTTTCTATGTGTTTGCATAATATTGCATAAGCAATATAATGCAAACCAATCAAGGATAGCCTTGATCCTACATTTACAATCAACATATTGTCTTATCAGAAACCTCCCGAACCGGAAAAAAAGGCTTTGGACAAAGATTTGGATAAAAAGGAAGTGATAGAAGTGAGAGCTCCAGTAGTTGGTCCACAACTGCCAAGACCTCCTTTTGACACACCCTTGGTTACACTGAAACCTACAGTTGCTGAGGCTCTGAAACAAGCTGTACAAAATACATCACAACCCACCGCTTCCACTGATGATGGGTATGTCAATAAACATTCTAATTAGGTTGTTGTGAAAATAATTAGAGTGTTCAATTAACTTGAAATGTGTTATTCAATTCAATATTATTCATTAAATACTTATTCACATATTAATTTGACTGTATTGATTTAAACTGTCAAACACCAAGCGGTCACCGGTGACCGCAACCTATTGTTCTATAATTGTGTCTACAAAACCGGTACTCGACGTGTTAATATTTACAGGATTATAATGTTGATAATAGGGTAGATGCCTAATTTTTTTTAATGTCCGTCTGGTAGAATATTTTAATTCATTAGACACATACTAATTATTTTCTTACAGAAACAAATACTTGATTTGAAATGTCCCGTGACATCACTTCTATGTACATTTTATATGTAGAAATGACATTTTAGCCCCCACTCCTAAACTATGATTCATTTTATCTGAGTATTTTTTTATTATACGACAAAATAAAAAATATTTATAATATTTTTTCATTACATAACTTATGGACTAATTAGATTTTTAATATTCATACCCTGTCATCATCCCAATTGCAAATGAAAGTTATCTATGTTATGCTAATTGCGAATCATTGCATTTATTTGTGTCAATTATAATTAGTTGTAATAGTAAATGGACTTTCATGGTTTCTTCATCATATTTACAACTATCTCAGTATTATTTTTGCCCCTATTATATTTATTTTCACTTTGATTTCTTTCATTTGCAGAGTTGTAGCTATCGGCACAGCTTGCAAGAATGGAGGTTGTGGTATTACTTATGAAGGTCCACACACAAATGACAGCATGTGCACTTACCATCCTGGCTGTCCAGTCTTCCATGAAGGTTTGAAATTCTGGTCCTGCTGTCAAAAGAGAACTACAGACTTCAACACCTTCCTCAGTCAGCCTGGGTGCACCACTGGCACTCATAAATGGACTAAAGAGGTTTGTTTATTCTTTTTTTATTTATTTTATTTATTTATTTATACTTTATTGCACACACAGAAAAAAAATGTGAACATTGCAATAGTAATTTGAGTACAATGGGCGGTCTTATCTTATTCTTTTTGTATATTTATTACAGTTTTCTGTGGATTTAACCATGAATCTTACCTTATTAGTTGTTCAATACAAAAATTACGAAACTATTTTGTTTTAATACAAATGTTTATTAAATTAATTTTAACTCTTTGCAGGGTACACCAGCTGGAACAGTCAAGTGTCGATGGGATTGGCATCAAACACCTGACTATGTTATTGTAAGTGTGTATGCCAAGAAATATGATCCAGTGTTAAGTTTTGTTAAACTGAACCCTATTCGTCTGAACACAAAGTTGGTATTCCGAGAGCAAGGTGATGCATCATTTGACTTAGATCTGGAGCTTAGAGGTGTAAGTATTGCTTATATAGGCTATTTGTTTATGACCCAAGTCATGGAAATACTGGGTATTTTAAACTTTTAATTTTATTATTTACAGGTTATTAGTGTGGAAAATAGCAGTGCATCAATGTTGTCAACAAAGATAGAGATCAAACTGAAAAAGGGTGAACCAGGTGCGTGGAGTAAATTGGACTTCCCTCGCACAGAGCCGAAGAAAGTGGAGGAAAAGCCACAAGATGTCAAACCTGCAGAAGATGACTATGAAGACTTGTCCACTGTTGAAGCAGTACAATCTATGGGGAAAGTCAATGTGTCTGGTTGATTAATTAGTTAATATAAATATAGTAAATTTCTATTTGACTATATTCTTTTTTAATAAAGCACAATGTTCATCTAGGTAATTAATTGTATATGAGTGCTCCCCTAGTAGATGTGCATTTATTTTCTGAATGAAATAAATTGTGCTTTTACTACTATGAAATTGCTTTCATTTTTAACCGTTAGAAATAAAACTACATAGAATAACTCCTTGATCAAATCAAAACGTATTTATATACAAATAAAAGAACATACCATGCTATTGTCTTTACAACATTTCATCAACACATTTTTAAATTTTTTCTCTAGATTCATAGCACATTATATTTAAATACATCTTAGTCTATGTAAATACAATAAATTACTATAGAATAATAACATTTACAAAATTTATACAACATGACTAGGTTGACTAGACTAGATAAGATTCAAAAAGGTACATTTTTATCTAATACTTTCAGATTCAAATACTCTCGTTACACTTTATGTTATTAGATGATAGACTTTTATATAAAATTCTCTTCAGAAATTCTATTTAATTATTTTCTATGAACTTTTATTAGGTATTCTATACGCTAACGGACTCGCAGGTACTTACCTATAATGTGAAAAGGATACTAATTGAAATTCGACCTCTTATTAACAACCAAATCGAATACTCTAAATTATGTCGACGAGTAAATATACGTGATGATTACTATCATTTTGATAATTTAATCTGTAGTGCCATCAAAGAGTACTATAATACAAACTGGCGGGCCATTTTTTGTTGTGTACTGACTGTTTGCAGACACTTCATAGTGTGGTTATATACCATATAATATTAATATACCATAACGATATCTGATGAAATTTGGTACTTGTTAGAAATATCAAAATTTCAAGACAGTAATAATACAGAACACTATCCAAAGAAAATTGAAGGTTAGGAAAGCAAGGTACATTTCTCACGCTCCGGTCCCCGAGTAGTCAGTTTTGAGTACCCAGCAACACTATTAAATATTATTAGGTTATGTAATAAATTATTATGGCGAGGAACAATGTTCACTAGTAGGTGGCGGGGGTGGATGGAAGGCAGGCGCGGGCGCAGGCTGCATGCGGTACATGTCGTGCAGTAGTGTCGCCACCGAGACGTCGCCCACCGTGTCCCGGAACAATAGCAGCTCTATGGAGCGCGCGCGCACTGCTCGGAGAGATGGTAGTAAGAGGAGGAGACGGCCGAATCTGAATTAGATTAAATAAATAGTAGGCTTATTTGAGGAACAAGTATAGAATATACTAGATATTCTTTGATTAAAAAAGGATTTGTAGCGCCTATGAATAATATCATAGCAAATTATTCAGTACGTTCATATGCTATAAAATGTAAGAAGCAATGATCGGTAGGTAAATAAATAACAGGTCCGCTACGTGTGTTATTTGTCAATACTTACCATCTGGATCCGGTCCCCATAATTAGGTTACTTATATTTACCTTGTTGGTTGTCTGGTATATCGGGTCCGCACATAATCAGCCAGTATGCACTGAGCCTGGTCTTGCAACATCTCCACAGGCTGAGTCTCGATTAGTCCCGGTGTGTCTAGGCCCATAAATTAAATACATCAATTAATATTATGTTAGTCCATAAATTAAAATACATAGGTACATAATTTGTACCTACGGCGTCGCAATGGATACCAAACAGTCTAAGTTGACAATACCCAGATATTGTCAACGCGTATATTATATCAAATATTTTAGCATACATATAGGCATTGTGTAGTACCTAAATGAATTCTAGGTATAGTAAATTATGACATACCTAGAAAATGTATTGAAACTAACCTGGTGAGAAAAGAACAATAGCCTTCATACACCCACACTCGCTGCCATCGGGAGCTATTTGACGAAACCGACACAAAATCTCCTGAAACAAGAGAAACATTTCATTATTCGACACGTGAATGGCTTTGTTTAATTTACGGTAGGTACTTACGTCGATTAAATACTATGAGTGACATTTTCTTACTACTGACATTGAAACATTTTTTCAGCGTCTCGACGATCACAAAGGGAAAGGGTAGGGAGGGAAATTATATAGGTATCACTATTATTTTTACTTACGTTTTATTGCCATAAAAAGCCTTTTACAAGAATAGAAGTAGAGAATGTCATGTCATCACTTCAAATTTTCCACGTTAAACGGCTTTCAACTCACCTGTAAAGTATTCAGTTCCAAGTCAGCCAATGGATCTGGTGGCAATCGAGCTCGTGCTGCTGGTGCTGCTAGCAATGGTGCTAGGTCCCATGGAGCTGACCACTGTGCCAGGTGCAGCAGAAACAGGTCCTTCCAAGCAGCTCGTAGGAGGACCAGCTGGTCTGAAGCTGCTAGAGCTTGGAAAGGTGCTAAGCACCTCACCCAACGCACCGCCATGAAGAGAAGACGGGCACTTGTTTCCTAAGATGGACAATTGAGTGGTACAAAATTTTAATGTAGTGTGTACTGAATTAATAGATATTAACGAAATAAATTTAATCTTTCATATACTTTAATTTTTTTAGGTAGTAGGTACCTAGTCGGTTGCGTAACCATGCTTAGGTATATCTAAATTAGTGTTTACTACAGTAGCAAATGTTGTGTACAGCAAAATACATAACACCAAAGTACATAAAGTAACGTGTCAAACATGCGCACTGTGACGTAGCGGAACATAAGTCAAACATCGATGACTTCAGAAGCGTAGCGCTACGGCGTAGCGCGTAGCGGGCGATGGGCGGGGTAAGTCAACTGAAGGCGATAAGTCACCCAGCGACCGCCCAATAGCGTCTCGCACCCGCCCCTTTAGTCAAAAAGCCACCTATCAAATGTCTATATGGTGCACACCCCTTGAAGGAAACCCAAAGTTGCAATACAATAAAAACGTCTTCATTCAAGTTTCGGGTAAATGAAAAGTAATATCTTTAAGTGCTTGTAAAATCAATTAAAGTAAGTAGTTTACCTGCAATAGTTCCCATGTAGGCGCAAGGGGTGCACCAAAAGCACTTGGTGGCGGTCGAAGCAAAGTTGGATCGCCCTGTAATTGTAGCTGTTTTGCGCTCCACATCAATTCCTGTGTGAGAAATTAAGATAAGTTAGGTATTTAAAATATAAAGATAACTAGAACCTCTTCTTCTGCTTCTTCTTCCTCTAACTTTCTCTAAATGTAATACGTCACAATAATGATGGACTAGGAGTACTTAGCGGGGTCCTAATTTGAGAAAATTGCCTTTAATAGCGTTTGAATAGATTTCCTCACCTGGCATTTATCGGAGGACATGAGGATATGTAGTAAGCCTGGAGGTGGTGGAGCTAGGAACGGCTCTGGGACGAGTGGTAGGGGGCTCGGAGCCCCCGCGCCCCCGCCGGCGCCACTAGACCCCGCCGAGGAAGCCGTGCTCAAAGGGGCTGGCTCGCTCATACCACTGATATTGAACTGTTAGATGTGACAATGAGATTGGATTTATTAGACATTTTATCTAACGTTTCGGGTGCTTACATTGTTCAGCGGAACTAAACTATAATTATCTATCCAGTTATAGTAAGGAGTCTATCTACGCATGCATGTATTAAAAGTACGTTATGTTTCCTAAACTCAATCAATACACGATTTCCTGTTAGTGCAAACGTCTCTCATGGGCCTTATCTCAAATAATATTATCTAACTTGCAATATCAAAAATTTCTTACTTGAAAATTGAAAGTTTGCGGCAATGGAGTATATGGTGAAGGTGGTGACAGCTTGAGAGCGTGCGGCTTGTGTGCGTGGTTCATCGATGGTGGACCCAGCGCGCCCATAGCGCCAGCCTGCAACTTCGGCTTACGAGGACCTCGTTCATGCTGCACCGCTGCGAGATATGTACCATTTGAGTATACAGTCTTCGTGTAATTTTCAGTGAGGATGATAAGTACCTTTTTATAGAAAAATAAACAAGTGGAAAACTATCAAGACTCTTTAGAAAACTAAATCCATACCAAATTACCCAAACACCTGTTTACCTGGTATTAAATACGAAAGAATATTGAACAAAAGTATTTGACTACATGTAACTCTGTAGTTGTTTTACACGTGGGATTATAGAGCCATGAACCGCTTATTCTGGCGATCCCTCGGTAAGCTGGGATCGTCCGCGCCTCGCCTGCCGTCGTATAATGTGCAACTGAGGGACGTGCTCATAGGGCTCATACCGCATCGCGCCCTTTGACCGATCATGTGCTTATTATTTTGTTACGAATACTTTTAGCATTCATTCTGAAACATTCATGATAATTCTCTTATTCACAGCCAGTGGTTTAGAAACGACCTGCATTTAGGCTTAGGGTTTTGAACTTAGGGTATCATTTACTGTAGGGATCTATTTGAATAAGACTTATTACCAAACAATTATGGTTATATTTAGGGGGGAAGTCACTTAACGCCGGACGGCACCAAACGCCGGACACTTGTATTTCCTCGATATTATTGAGATAATGGCGTTATGGGAATTTCCCCCTAACTATAGGAAATAGGCATGTCAAAAGTAATTAAATCATTAGATACAACGAAAAATACACGATTATTATCATGTTAACATAACTCATCTAAGTCAAAATCGAAACTGACGAAAACGTTCTTTAAAAATGTAAACCGAATAGTTTTAATTGCACGTCCAATGTGCACGGAGCCTGTGTAGGGATGACGTCACGCAATCAGCTTAACGAGGCTGAGTCCATGAGAATGCGGCTATTGTACCCGCACATGTCGGCGCATACGCTGCGTTCCCGCGCCGCCACCGCTTCTAGTGTCAATGAAATAATGACGCAGTAGGTCAACTTTAAACAAATCTACTCTTAGATCACCTACAAAGAGTAGGTGTCTATTTTTATTAGTTTACAAGTACTAAAATGTTGTGATTAAATCATGTGTAGATACAATGCAACGGGTAAATTTATGACAGTTGTTATAACACTTATAATTAAGTTTGTCTCTTTGTTCCCAAAGAGGACTTAAATACGTACCTACGTTTAGTTTCGTCAGTGTAAGGGTTATAATAGTTAATGGATATATCTTCTTCACTTATCGACTGCTGTAAGATTTAAGACGACTTTTTGACAGACAGGTAAGAACATTTAAATTTTTGGTATGCACCTTCTGCGTTCTTCTGTGTAGTGACATTGTGTATGCGGCTTAGCAGACGATACAAATGCTGACGGACGCACTATTGCAATAGCAGGCTCCGCGTACGTAAGTGGGGACTTTAAATATTCAATGAAGACTATAAAATGGCTTTATAAGGAATTAGTGACTCTATGTCTCCTTTCTAAGTAGAGTAAATTATTAATTTATAATCTTTACATATAAATTAAGGTTTTAGTTAGTTATGCGTCCAGAGTTACATTGGACCGCTTTAAAATGAAAAACACGAAAAAGTCCACCCAAATTTACTCACCATTAACGTACCTATACAATTTTCCAGTAATGTTTAGTGAAATAAAGTTTTAAGTAGGTAAATGTCTATAACTATTATTATAGTCAGTAACAAATTGAAACTAAATTTTGTTGACTAAGTAGAAATATTATTTGTTATTGAAAAGTTAAAAGAAAGAAAGAAAAAAAGGTCAAAAGTCTTTTAGACACTAATATACTAATACGGGTAACCCATTGCACAAATACTACCTGGACACGCAGAAAAATATTTGTAAAGCACTAAAAACAAATATTTACCAACTTATATTTTAGCATTCATAAAACACATCGCGTGTAGTGCATTGTCAGAGCAACTGATGCAATGTTAACCTTTTGTTTATGGGGCGCATGTAATCCCAAATACAACACGTGCTTTTTTTCACGACGTCATCGGCTTCCCTCACACACATTACACACACCAAAACAGACTTTATGACATCACTATACGACACACATTCACTAATCGTTGATATTTAGGGTCGGTTAAGCCAAGGGGCTCAGTTTCCACTGTGACGCGGATAAGCGAGATTTTAATTAAATGAAGGCGAAATGTGTATCAAGTTGTACATTATCTGATGATTCCAATGAAGTTTGTGGTTGGATGCATATTTTGATAAACTATAATTTTAATTTTCTTACGTTGATTCGTCGGCGTCGTAGCGGACGTAGCGGCTGTAGCGCTGCTACGCGTCTACGACAGACGAAATTAATACTTACAACTAATAACTACAACTATTTCACCGTTTTAGTTTAATTTTATGATAAAAAACGGAATGCAAAAATGCAATTTCTTTACGATTGTAAAGAAATACATAGGTACATCTTAATTTCTGTCGACAAGTCACAAATTAGGGCCGACGGTTGATACAGTGTCAAAAGTGTTTGAGGTATCATTCAGTAAAGCTATAAGTTCAAAAGTATTTATATATACATAGATATAAGTAGATAGCAGAGAAAACTAATATTTATATCATATTGCTAAAAAAATAAAGCATAAAAACTCAAGTTTAGGTTAAAAAGTAAAGTTTACTTGAGTCCAAAAAGTAAGTGAATATAAAGGTTTAAAAGAAGTTAAGTATCCACCGCTTAAGCTGATATAAAAGGCGCATAGTGAATCACATTGGCAACGTTTAAAAGGGAGATTTAACTTCAAACATGTATCGACAAGCCCCTCGTTCACCGAATTGAAAGCAAACAAAACATGTTTTTCAAGTTTCAAAGGTAGTTGATACAAAAAGTATTTTTTATTTATTACCCGCAGGCTTTGGCGGGCCGACGCCAATTACATTCACTACATTTTAATTTTGTGTTTTGTAAAATAACTCATGTTAATGGCGTTAAAATGGTACCACGCACAAAAGAGATGCCTATAGTTGCCTAACCATGTTTGTATTGCAATACCTAGGAACATTTTACTGCATACATTGATTAATGTCCAAATGGCCGTTGGAAATATTTGCTAATTACTTATTTGTAGGCAAAATATCACAATATACTTACAAGAAACTTTGCAGGCGATTAAAATGGAAATTAAAACGATAAAGCTCCTTCAAATATTCAATGAAGATCATGTGAAAATTCAACATCTTCGGTAACTAAGAATGGTTGAAACCAGGGGCGTGCACAGAGATTTGAAGCAGGGTAGGCAGAAGGTATTACATGATTAAAAAAAATTTGGTCTACATTAATCTCGGAAAATAAAACTCCCGAAACATCATAACTATGAGTAGGTAATTAGGTTTAGTAAGTACATATTTTATTAATTTGTATAAACAAATTAGGTACATAATAATTTTCAAACTATCCGTGTATAAAGTTGATCAACATAGATACCTAGGTATCTATTTTACAAATCTATTAACTAGGTACCTACTTTGGAGCGGCGAAGTACAAATGGTTACACATCAAGCTATGCAACACCAGTATAAACTGACCGTTAAATGCATAGAAAAGTCGTACAAAGCGAGATCAAGATGACTGGATTTTAAAAACATTAATGAAATTGGTACACAACCAGTGCTAACAAAACAAACTATACCTATAATCGCAAATCGTAGTTTATTAAAAGAAATAATAAAATTATTACCTTTTTTGAGTTACGCCTAGCCCGGACATACGACACACGCAAAATCGCCTTTGGAAATATTTTCGTTTCTTCTTCGAACGACAATAAGGACAACGCACTCATATTTAATTTATTGAACAACACAAATCACCAGCACAGAGCTCACAGCTATAATTTTACATAATTTTCGGTAAATTAACAGTTCATTTAAATTATAATTCATTACATTACAATTTATTCACTTGCACATAAAAACATAACCAAAACAAAATGGCCAAAAAAAACGTAAACAATAAGTTGACCAAAATTAATATATCTATTTTCAATCAACAAACGCTACGTTTTGTTGACTTCTTAAATTAGTCGGATAACGAAGAAGCAGTGCTTTTGCAGTTGTATAGAAATTACCAACCTAACAAAAAAAAAATCCAACATCAGCACGAGAAAACAAGCAAATTGTACCGGCTACGCATTAGTACATGCTTCCGCCACCATCACACAATAGCGAGGTGGCGGCGCCACTGGCGCAATGCTTCAATATATCGAAGAAAGTAGAAAGTGGTTGTAGTACTTCAATATTTTTTCGATAGATGGCGTTAGTGACCAGTTTTTCAAATTAAGTATCAATAAAATTACGAAATCTCTGTATGATGTCAGTAAATATTCATGTCGTGTTTATGAGTGACACTATGTATTTGACTATGTAGGTTTACCATGATTTTGTAGGGTATGCAGTGCTTATTTGCATGTATGGTGTGCACGCCACTGGTTGAAACTATCATTCATATCGTTTTTTTTTTTCAGGTGTTTATCCCGTAGTCCCATTAATCCTTGATGTTGTATTGTCGTTACATCGTTCTTACATAACAATATTTAGGTAAAGGATCAGATACCTAATGTATTAATGAGACGGTAAAAAAGTGTTTAAAAGAGTAATGATGGAGTTTCTTGCTCCTTCTTCTCCATTCGAAACTACATTTTGGAACGAGCGCCTAGCTTCACTGACAAAGAGACAGACGGATAATGCAATTTTTGACGTTTTAAATGTGCGTATTTTATGGATTAATTGAAATAAATGCTTTATCTTTGACTATTTATAACACACTCAAATCAATCAAATTCGTATTTGATCTAACTTAAAATACAATTTTAACGAAAAATGGGAAATTCATGTTAGAACTTTCTATACGACCTATTTCCAGGCAAAAGTAGAGGTAACACCTATTCACCTATAGTTGCACTTACACGTGCAGCCATAAGGTGTAAAAGCATTTGTTGCGACTACTTGCGACCCCTACCCACACTGGGGGTAAGGGGTCGCGGGTAGGTTACCTATA